AAGGCTTCAGAAATGCACAGAGTTCTATGACTTGTTTAGTAAGAAAACAGTTGTATCCAAAATTGCCACAGGTCTGAATGTAATTAAGCCAGGTTGCAAATCTTTGTGTTGTTAATGGATTTTCCAAGAGTTGCATATATTACTTCCATACAGTTCCTGTCATAATTCCTTAAGTTTATGAATATGGAGGGGGTGGGGGATGGGTACGCCCAGGCGGTCTCTCATCTACATTTTTCTATTTTGACTCACCTAGAAGCCTTTATGAAAAATATTTAGCTAATTCATCGTTTTTCAAGGAAAGAAATCTTTTAACATCAAATTAACATTACCAACGTGGAAAACCTAAAAATAATTTTTTATTCAAGTAATCTAAGTTTACTGCCCAAAGCCAACGCATTCCTTCTCTTTCAGGAAAATAATAATAAAGAATTGACAGGTTTTGTTTAAACTTTCAAAACCAGAGGCTTTATTTTAGCCCATTCTGCCACTAGGTCCCCAGGGAAAGGTCTCATGCAATCATTTCTCTTTTATCTCCCAAATTTAATATAGGCAATAAAGTTCTTAATCCATAATTCACTATTTTATCACAAATATAAGATTATTTAAACATCTCTCAAACAGATCAGCATAGACCATAAGCCAAATTGTAATAGCTATTATTGTGCAACACACGTTTCACAATTGTTTTTGAGGGTTATTTTTAAAAGGAAAAAAAATGTTCAGCCACTGAAATAGTTTTAACTTCCTTTAAACCACAATATAGTTTTGTTGTCTATGTTACATTCATGTTTCAGTTGTGCCATATAGTTTTATATAAAGTTTGGCTAATACCACTAAAATAACTATTGCTTCACAATACTGGTGTGAGACTGTATCAAGAAGAAAGTGTTTTAATTTTATGTCACACACTGAGGACCTTGTAGTGGAATAAACAAAAATTAGAATGCAACAATACATGTTTAGATTGTATGTCACCTTCATCAGATCTATCTCAGTCACTCCACTTGATAATTCATTCTTGTGAGTCATTGGATGTTCTGAGAGCATACCTGAAAACCTAACTTAGTATACCTGTGCACATTATTTCATGGCCCCGTTTCCTTTGAAGTGAGATTAATTGAAATTTTCTGAGAAGAGGTTGTTTGCCTCAGCTCTTTTTTCCCAACATACTCCCCTGAGCACAGCATTGATATTTTAGATGTTTTTTATCAACAAAATTGATTGTCCATAAGCACTGTTCTGAGTCATGAAAGACTGACTTTTGTATTAGGAGGTCAGAGCCCTCACACAAAACAGAGAATAATGCAAAATAAAAAGAGCAACAAAGGGAGAGACAATTGAAAAAGATACTTTTCTTTATGTATTAATATGTTAATTAAATAGAAACAAAGATTTTATATAAAAATGAGTTTATATTACTTTTCAATTATATTAAGTTAGCATGAAAGTTTACCATTAAAATAAAGTGTTACCTCTTTTATTACTTTGATTTGCTTATACATGCCAGAAATATTTTTATTAAATATTTTAATTTTATTTATTTTTCTGTTTTGATGAGTTTCATATCAAGTCTGTATACTATGTTATTTGGAAGAATCCGGACTGCATATTCATTTTTGCAAAAGAAAATACTCATGTACCAAGACTGCCTACTTGAAAGAGATATTGGTACAGTCTTAGAGTCCCATAAAATTCTCCTTTAAAAAATAATACTATAACGTAGAAGGTATATGAACTATGTATCTTAGTCATAATTCAATTTAAGGAAATATTTATTACCCCTTGAAAACCATCCTACTGCCTCATACTGACTCAAAGATTAAATTCGGAATTGTTAAGTATGGACACTAAGACTCACTTAGCTGCCTAATGAGGACTGAGGTTGTTGGGTGGTAGAAAAATCCTGCTGTTCTAAATTCCTAGTCACTTTAAACTGCAGAGAAGTGATGAGCATAGGCTTCAATATGTGTTAATAAGGAGCCGAGGCAAGCATCTACAAAGGCAAAGAGGAAAGAACCGGTTATTCTAAGGCAGGATGGTGCAGCCCCTACAGAGAGGATGGAATAATTAAAGTGGAACAAAGACTTGGACAATGTCAATAGAAAGCCTGAGAACAGTGCCACCAAGCCAGATCATTTCCTGTAGAAAATGTAAAAGATATTGGAGCCAAAAGAAGCAAAAGAGGTCACCTTGCCATTGTGTGGGCCTTCGTGTGAGCAAACCACACACCTCCCTCCTTTGCATTTGGAGCAGTTTTATATCCCTAGCTCAGAGATGATGCTTTGTGGGGCAACATTTGTACTCATTGGCCTGCCAACCAAAGGATTTGATCATATGACGTCAGACTTTTATGAGAGACTATTCAAAGTCTCTTTACATTTGCATTAGTTATATTTAATATTTCTTAACCTAAGATCACTGATCATTCATACCTTATTAGAAATCTTGTGTTGCTTAACCTGGGCTAGTCTAAATGAAAGCGTGCTTAGATCAGCTCTATTTCACCTTTTGACTAATGTTAGCTAGTTGCCTCCTACAGTTACCCCCAGAGGGACCTTACTATGATGGGTCTACTCTGGGAAACCATAGAATTCAGCAGGGAAGTAGGAAAATGCCAATTAAATAGTAGTGTTCCACTTTACACTAGCACCATTAGAGGGAAAGGTATCTTAGGAACATCTTAAAGCCAGTCACAGCGCAGCATGGCTGAGGATAGACACAGAAGGCAGGGAAA